AACTACCTTTATGGTTATTATTTATTGGGGTTTTGAGGGCCTATGTCTTTGCCATTGTTTGATATTATTGTTTCTTATTTGTCAGTCACAGACATTGCCTTCTCTGCTTTGGCCTTCATATATATTCATGACCACATATTACGTGGCTTGCTTTAACTTCAAAGTTTGGCAGTAGCATCAGCCTTTGTTTCCAGGACTCACTGCTTGCCCCTTGGCTTAATTGAGGCTTGATTCTGACAGAGACTCTTCAACATCAAATGTTCATTTAAATGACTGAATGTAAAATTGAATCTGGTGTTGCATAAAAACATAAAAATGCATAAACAATATTTGAAAACAATAAAAATATACAGAGGTGGGGCACCTCTCACAATCCTAACAGATGAATCACATGTCTTAACTTTCTAAGCTTCACTAAAGTATAGAAGGTATGGTTTCCTGCTGGTCTAGTTGTTTCTCTGACTAATGCCCTCCTTACCTGGTCACTTTTGGTGGATGGCCTCCTCTATAGGCAAAGTCAAAGTGTGCCATATTTTTTCATTTTCTTTGGTCTTCATGATGCAGTTTCTTTAGGTGTGTTATTTAACAAACTCTGGGACTTTTCAGGAACAGGTGTAGTTATATTGAGATCATATGACACTTTAATTGCACACAGGTTAAACATCCTTTAAATTAAAAAATTAATATCCTTTAAATTAACAAATTAAACATCCTAAGCTTTTACTGGTGAAACTCACATGCTTCATGGGGCCTTTCTTATTCTGCTGTTTGCTGGTTGTGCTGTCAGAGTCTGTAGCCCTAGCTATATTTTCTAATCTTAAGTATAATTAGCTAATGTAATGTACCAACTGAACCGCAACAAAACCTATTTTTTTAGGAAACAGTTGTTGCTCACCACGATTTTCATCTAGCTCTGGCACTTGCAGTAAATTACTCATTTGAATAGAGACATGCTCTTGTATGCTCATTCTGTGGGTGGAGTATATTTAAAAAGTGTCAGGTGGGGGTGTGGCGGAGTGGACCCAAATGGAGGCAGGTTAAACATGAGAATATCGGGCAAGAAAGACACACAATAATCCAGTGATGTGTGGAGGCGCACATAGCTTATTTATACAGGTAGCAATCAGTGGGGAAAATGGGGAACAGGTGTGCTTGCGCTTCCGCACGGCGGATGTCGAGGCGGGATCAAAACTCCCAGCTGGAATGCGGAAGTGCAGGTGTGGTGTCGGAGCGGAGCGTGACAAAAAGGAGTTACTGGCTAATCTTACTAAGCTACTTAGAGTGTTGCTAAGGTCGATAGTAAATTATGAAATTTAGCTAGTGTAAGATCACTTTATTCACTCACGTTGGTGTGCTAGTTATAATATCAGTACAACAAGCTAGCTTAGACATCAAAATGAGCATCATACTGGGAAAAACTGCAAAGAACTCGCTGCTAAGGGTCTTTTAGAACAATTTACAACAGAACAAGATGTAGCTTGCTACAGTTTGGACTGTCAAGAGCTTCAGGTCCATGTTGGAAATGTTCATGAGACTCAGCTGTCCTGTACAAAATGGTTTGTAATCATCAAATAACCCCTATAAAACACATTTAGCGTAAAGAAACATACTGGGGAAGATATCAAGGTCACTTGAAGTTGTAAAAAAAAACAGAATACTATTCCTCAAAATAATTTGTGTTGATATAATTTAATGTAATGATATAAATGTAAGTTTGGCTTGTGCTCCATTCACTAACATGGGGATGGGAGGGGTTAAAGATTCGCTTTTTCATCCATGAGAGGCCTGAGATGGAAGAGCTCATACAGCTACACACTGGTGGAGCAGAGTGTGGAGTCACGCCAGTGCTCTGCTGTGGAAGGATGTATGAGCCAAACCATACATCCTACTTCCTTACACTGACACACACACACACACACACACGCACACACACACACAGAGACAGACACACAAGTGGGGGTTCTGGTTTTGTCCTATAAACTTCAAGAGAAAAAAGAGAGGACTGTTTATAGCTGCAATAACATAACTGATAACAGGAAGTAATGCCTGTGTCTGGAAACTGACACTTGAGACTCTTTCTAGAAATATTATATAAATGCCTTTTTTTTTTTTTTTACAGAAAACTTAAATTTACCAAAGACACATTTTTAAATCCGTTTATTGTTAGACTTATAATAAACCATACAAGTCCCTGTGAATGAGATGTCATGTTATTAATGTATTCATTGACTTGCCAGTGTTGCTGTCTACAGTCGCCATTATTATTGTTATAATTGTTGTGCTGGTTATTTTTGCTGTTGCTGTTTTGTTATCATCGTTACCAGAATACAAAAGGGAGGAAATATGTTTAGGCTGATAATTAAGTCCGTTCTGTCAATTATGAGATACAGCTAGTATGAAAATGTGGTTTATTTTTATAGACTGTGAATGAATTGCAATCGGATTGAGGCTATTTGCATTGACAGTGTCATGTTAATTAGTCACCAGCCAGATTTGAAAGTACAGTTTGACAATTATACAATTTGAAATGCATCAGCAGTATGTTTTGGTCTTGTAGTTTGGACAGAAATGTGTCTTTCTACAGTATATGTAGAGGTGGTAAAACATACAGCGTAAAGCACACATTTTTCAAAAAAACACTAAATTTCTGACAAATCCTCCTGTGCAAAGCTTCTAAAACTGTAGGGGTGAAACTAGTTGATATTTAAAATATTATAAAATAAAACTATATAACACCTCACTCCAGTATTATGTTTCCACATAGTATTCTAAGAGTGTTCTAGTGTAGAGTTTTCTAAGATTACAGAAATCCATGGTGTTTACAGAAATCCATGGTAGAAGCCGGTTGAGAAGTCCACAGGTAGGAAGTCCACAGTTTAACGTGTCAGTGGTAGGCAGAGACAGTGGCAGAGCTACACCCAAAATTGAGGAGAAATTCAGTTAAAATGGGGAGAAAGATCGACAAACACATCTCTCACACCTGCAGGAAATAGACATTAGCTAGTCTTTGCATATGTATATACACAGATATTAAGGTAATTTTGCTGGTATAATTTGTGTCTGCTTGTTCCCATAAAGAGAAGAATCACTGTAAAGTAATTGTTATTCTTACTGATCACCTTTACACTATATTGCCAAAAGTATTGTGACACCCCTCCAAATCATTGAATTCAGGTGTTCCAATCACTTCCATGGCCACAGGTGTGTAAAATCAAGCACCTAGGCATGCAGACTGCTTCTACAAACATTTGTGAAAGAATGGGTCGCTCTCAGGAGCTCAGTGAATTCAAGCGTGGTGCCGTGATAGGTTGCCACCTGTGCAATAAGTCCATTCGTGAAATTTCCTCACTACTAAATATTCCACGGTCAACTGTTAGTGGTATTATAACAAAGTGGAAGCAATTGGGAACAACAGCAACTCAGCCACGAAGTGGTACTCCACGTAAAATCATAGAGCGGGGTCAGCGCATGCTGAGGCGCACAGTGCGCAGAAGTCGCCAACTTTCTGCAGAGTCAATAGCTGCAGACCTCCAAACTTCGTGTGGCCTTCAGATTAGCTCAAGAACAGTGCTTAGAGAGCTTCATGGAATGGGTTTCCTTGGCCGAGCAGCTACATCCAAGCCTTACATCACCAAGTGCAATGCAAAGCGTCGGATGCAGTGGTGTAAAGCACGCCGCCACTGGACTCTAGAGCAGTGGAGACGTGTTCTCTGGAGTGACGAATCACGCTTCTCTGTCTGGCAATCTGATGGACGAGTCTGGGTTTGGCGGTTGCCAGGAGAACGGTACTTGCCTGACTGCATTGTGCCAAGTGTAAAGTTTGGTGGAGGGGGGATTATGGTGTGGGGTTGTTTTTCAGGGGTTGGGCTTGGCCCCTTAGTTCCAGTGAAAGGAACTCTTAATGCTTCAGCATA